TTTCTGCACAGCAAGTCCCCATAGGTTTCCCCCTCTCCCTTGACATCTATGGTGGTGGTCGAGTCAGTTCTGACTCATAGCGACCCTGTACAGGGGGGTCTCCAAAGTTGTAAATCTCTACAGGAGCAGAAAGCCTCATTTTTCTCCTGCGATGTAGCTGGTAGAGTTGAACTGCTGACCTTGTGGTTAGCAGCCCAAGGCATGACCCATTAATATACCAGATCTCCTTCCCAACGCCTACACATACTCTTAACTGAATGAGGACTTTGTGTCAGACCCTGACTGAAGCTGGATTGTGGCATCTCTGCCTGAGGTTCTGTAAATAATGTAACACCTTTGGGAACCCAGATGACAGTTCCCTCTTCCTCTCCTGGGGATGGAGTGGGAGACCCCAAGTCATGGAAGGGTGGTGGTCAGGGAACTAGGGCTGGGATGACAGATGGTCTGACAGAGGAACAGAAAGAGGGTGTTTTGATGAGCAGTACCGGCCCCACAGCATTCCCCATAGGGGAAACCCCTTCCTCCTACCTTCCCCTGACTCACCCCCAAGACGCCCTCTTTGGGCAGCTGCGATGATCCAATGTCATGGTACTCACTATCTAGAGTGCCAAACTCAATGCCATAGAGTTGTTTTCGACTCATAGCAACCCTGTAAGGCAGAGCAGAATTGCGCCTTAGGGTTTCTGAGGCTGTACATCTTTACTGGAATCGACAGCCATCAAGGTTTGAACCACCAACTTTGAGGTTAGCAGTCCGAAGCCATCTCTGCGCCACCAGGGGATCCCTCTCAAGCGTGCTAGAGACCCGAAAACCAACATGGAGAGTAAGAGCTACCTACCCACAGTCACACAGTGGCTCTGCTCTGGACATTCCTCCCAAGACGGTCCTAGGTGACCACGATAGATAGTTTCTACGACTGGGTGGGACATTCCGCTCTCACATTATTCCCTTCTCACAATAGATCGTCGCTCCCCAGCCGCCCCTACGTCCCCCCCACCCCCACCCCCGGCAGCATTGGGAAAACCCACGAGTTCCTGCTCCCCTCTCATAGCAGTGGGTCAGCACACTCAGTCCCCAGTTTCCCGCAGGATGTCCAAGGTTCCTTCCGGGACGCTATCCGGTCCCGCGCTCACCTTTGGCCTTGGCTTTGCGCCACCGCCGGCGGCTGCGGATCCCGGCTTTTTCCTTGGCCCTTTTCGAAGCCAGGGCCCCAGAGGCTCCGGCAGCCCCGGCGGGCCCCGATCCCCTGGCCAACTCCATCAATTTTCCGCGGTCCCCGCGGTCCCAGTGCGGGTGCCAATTCCAGCCACCATCCGCCCCGAGGACCAATCCTTACTACACGCCACCGCCGGGCCCCCGAACCACCCAATCCCGGGCTGGCTCCTCTCTGGGTCCCGCCCATTGAGCAATCCTGGCATTACTCCAATGTGGCTCCGCCCTCAGCCCCTAGAGACCACGGTCTGGCTCCGCCCCCTCGCCGCATTAAAGGGCCAACGGCCAAGAAAAACGCCACCCTGGAGGCGGCGAAAAGCGTCCTTCGGGCAGCACTAGTAGGGATTTCTGCTGAGGTCACATTAACCAGAAAGCCCCAATCTTCTCACGCTCTGGCGCTCGGCTTCATGTTCCCACTCACCTTCCCAAGTCTGGATCCCTTAGAACGCAACCCGGCCCGCCCGCCCGCCGGAGGGAGTGAGGCAGGGGGCGACATAGGGCCTTCGCCTGAGCGTGGGGGGTGGGAGAGTGTCAGAGCGGGACATTAGCACTGGAGGCGTGGCTGGGCCAGTTGCACCGTTGAGTAAGAAAACCTTGCTTTTTTCCCTCCCTCCGCTTCTTAGTTCTCCTTTTACGCTCAATCTTGGGGTGCTTCTGTTTTTTAACTAGCTCGTTAACTCGCCCCTGCCCCCCTATCGTGAAAGGAGGAGAACGCTCTGCGACTGCGCAGGACCTCCAAGCCGCGGGTCAGCGATCAGTAAGCAGAAAAGGAAAGGCGCATGCCTGAGAAAAAGGCGGGAAGTAGAGGAAAAACTCGAGGCTTGCGCATGCGCATTCAGCAAAACACGCGGGTCATCAGTCGCGGCAGCGAGAGGAGGGTGGTCCCTGGATGTCTAGGGAAACAATTCTTCATCGTCAGCACGACGACAAGGAAAAGAGAAAGCAGACGTCAAGCTTCATCTCTCCATTCCATCGCTGTGACCGCTCCCAAAACATACAACCAGCTCTGGAACGGCCTCAGTTCTGAACGAGCGGTCCAGCTCTGAGGGAACCATTGGACTTTGGCCTCAGAAAGCACCATTGCCTGCTGTAACTAACTGGCCTTCCAAGGACCTATCTGGATTGGGCCTTGTGTTTTTGTTTTTCCTTCCCTTCCTCCAGGATGTTTCCACAAGTAAACTCTCATTCCACGGATAAAAATTCGGTCCCTTTCCCTAATTCTCACCCTTCTCCAATGTCAAGGGATTTGAATTTAGAGAGGATAAAGCCCGGAGCAACATAGAGCTGGAACGTGCACCCCAGGGACCACCACTGCCCGTTCCCAAGTAGCCCCAGAAGGGCCAGAGAAAGTGAGGAGTGTGGTCAGGCAGCGAGGAAGACCCCTCTCGGGTCGCTACTGCTCTCCTAATTCTCCATCAGTCCATCCCTGACGTTGTCTGCCATTAGCCGACCTCACACCGTTTCTCTCAAGCTTCTCTTTCCTGTGAGTACAGCTGCTAAGTCCAGCCAAGGGTGAGGGAAAAAGAGTACGACCTTCAACGAGATGAACTAACACAGTGACTGCAGCAATGAACTAAAAAAACAACAATTAATTATGAAGATGTCGCAAGACCAGGCAGTGTTACATTCTGTCGTCCATGGGTTGCTATGAGTCATAACCAACTTGATGGCACCTAAGAACAAATCCTTCAGGCCTGGCTGGACAGGAACTCCTCTGTGGAGGCAACCAGGCAGGGGAGTACTTGTATCCTGCCAGATCTGATAGCTCCAAGATCATCAGTTGCCTTGACTTTTGCCCCATCTAGATGGAAACTCCGTGTGAGGGGGACCATGTTCCATGTTGTGTTGCTGGTACCCCAGATAGTGTATGCCACCAAGCTGGAGTTAAGTTTTTGTGGGTGGATGGATGGACATCACTAGTCCAGTGCTTTTCCCCACCTCTATTGGATTTCCCCTAGATCCTCAGTAGGAAACTGCGTGATGCAAGGGAGAAAGACTCTGGCTTCAGAACTTGACTTGCTACAGCACCGCTGTGTGCAAGCTCTTTTATCTCCATCTATTCATCCCTGACCTTGTCTCTGACTTTGAAGGGTCTCACACCCACTCTCCCAGACTCCTCCCTGAGAACACCACCGCCAAGATCTTCCAAGAGTCAGTGAAAAAAGAGGAAGACCCTCACTATAAAATGGTAACTAATCTTTAGGTCCCCAGGTGGTACCAAGAGTTTGCACTTAGCTGCTAACCTAAAGATTGGCAATTTGAACCCACCCAGCGGTGCCATGAAGAAAACGCTATGGAGCAGTTCTATTCTGTCACACATGGGGGTCGCCATGAGTCAGAATCAACTCGATGGCAACTAATACCAACAACCTTTATGTCACGGGGGTTGAAGGAGAACCTGAGTTAACCTGACATACTTATAGTCTTAGTATTTCTGGAATGAATGACTGTCCCTGGGAGGCTCTAGGTCTTCCAGGCTCCAACTCACTCACCTGTGTTCCGGTAGTTTTTGTTATTCTGGATCTTGGGTCTCTTCCCAGATGAGGATACCCTATCATATTTGGACACCACTTCACACCCAGGTTTTCCTTGGGAGGGCAACTTCCTTCTCTGGGCCACAGTGTCTTCCTTGGAGGCTGGAGAATCTGTCTTGAACAGAGATCCCAGATCTGATTCTGACTCGGAATCTGTGGCCCACTCGAAAAACGTCTTCCATTCTGCGGCAGATTGCTCTAGGGACAATTCTTGTAGTTTTGCTAGAAAGCCACACTCAGTCAAAGATCCCTGTTGGGATCTGGCTGAAGAGGTTTGTTGGGTAGTAGGGTCTGGCTCTTGTTCACATCTCTCTTGGGATGTAGATTCAGTTTGGGCCAGAGGTTTCCGTTTGTGTCCAGATCTAGGTGTTGATTCAGCTGCCCCTTGAGCTAGAGGTGGCTTGACTGACACAGGTCTTGACTGGGCTACAGGTTCTGCTCTCAATTCTGTTTCCTGTTGGGTTGTTGCTTCTTTCCCCCCCTGTTTCGAGACATCTTCCTGTTGAGTAAAGGGCCCCTCTTGCATGGAAGGCGACTGCTGTAGTTCAGGCTCCTGCCGTGAAGCTGATTTTTGGTGGGCTCTAGGTTCTTGCTGGGATTCAGCTTCATGTTGGACAAGGGACTTTTGCTCTGTGAAGGGTCTTTGCTGTAAAACAGGTTCCTGTTGAACACTGGATTCCTGCTGAGCCTTAGATCCTGACTGGGTTGTAGGTATCCTTTCTAACCCAGGCTCTGGCTGGGTTTTGGGTTTCTGAGGTGACTCAGATTCCCAGTCTGACTTAGGTGCTGACTTAGAACCGGACCCCACTGCTGTTTCCCTCATGGGAGATGTTGCTCTCCCAGGCTTCATGCTTCTGGTCCCTCCAGATCTCTCTCTTTACAGATCGCTTATTACTTTCTCATAATGGCACCTCTCTTTGGGTTCCACTCTTTCATCTTGGCACCCTTAGTCTTTCTTTTGAAGACAGTTGGTAAGTGGGTTGCTCCCACTTCTTTGCCTCCTACTTTGGTGGGGGAGGGCTTAGGAACAACAGGAGACTGTCTGCCTAGCACTTTCCTATCAGCAGGGTGGGGCTCATCTTCTTGTGTCATAGATGGGGCCCTGCCCCACCCACCTCTCAGTTAAAATGTTTCTTCTGTGTTTCATCTGGGTTACATGAATGCCTGTTTTCCCCCTTTCCAATTTGATGTCTGAGAAAAAAGTCAAAGGGAAGAACCGTCTTTATATCTTAGTAATAATTTCTTCTTTTTCTTTATTAATGCCTACAAACTGGTTGTCAGTTTAACTGCCCTGCATTATCACTGATTTCACGCCCATGCTGAAAAAAAAAATAAAAATGATATCATTCCATTCTGAGCAGTTGGAATGGCCTTTGAGATCCTCTACAGATCTTGCCAACCTGGAATGATAGCTCTGCATACACATTCTGTACTAGATTGGGCAATCAGACTACAATGACCATTAACGTTGATGATGATTGTTGTTAAGTGCCATTCAGTTGGTTCTGGCTCAGCAACCCTGCATAGGGTTTCCTAGGAGTGGCTGGTAGAGTCCTGGTGTGGTGCTGTAGGATAAGCACTGGACTGCTAACCACAAGATTGGAGGTTCAAACCCACCAGTTGTTCCTTGGAAGCCCTATATACAAGTCACTATGAGTCAGAATTGACTCAACATCACTTAACAACAACAACAACAACAACAACAGGAGCAGCTGGTAGGTTTGAACTGCAGCACCAGATAGATGTTAAGTGCTGTCGAGTGGGTTCTGACTCATAGCAACCCTATATAGGGTTTCTGAGGAGCAATTGGTAATCATAAATACTTCATAATTACTTTCTATGCTTGGAAACAGTGCCAAGCTTTTGCTAACATATTATTTTTAATAAGACCATGTCTGATTTAATATTTGATGTTCTACTTGCTTTCTTCAGCCCACCTACCTCTACCTCAGAAAGGTTTGTTGAGTGAATGAAAGAATAAAAAGTTATACAGTGGCGAGAGAAGGGGGTTGGGAAAGGAGATGTGTGTGTAGACTCCGGGTTGGGTTTGAAGTGAACAGTCCAGTAGGTCATTGGGATCAAGTGTGAGTTTCCAGACTCATTTAAAAGAAACAATTTTGATCTATTCCACTGAGCAAATTTATTTATAAAAATGTATTGATCTCGGTTTGCTTTGTGCTTGGTTATATATTAGTGTAAGTGGGACTAGCCAGGTGATTTAGCCCAGTCTTGGCAGGATTAAGTCATTAGGAAGGACAGTCATCAAAATGACCGCGTGAAACCTTTTTGAAAACCCTGGAATGATTTGGGGGTGAGCAGAACAGCAAGGGGGAACTCGAAGTGGGAGAAGAGCCTCCTCGAGGTATGCACATTGCTTTGCTGACTGAGAGGGTCTCATTGGGAGAGGGATCCCACGCCTCTAAATGGGCAAAGCAAAGCTTGCTAGGTGACATCTTTGGAGAAATTGCTGGCAGGCTCTGGAGTGCTTGTTTAGCTTTCTGTGGTGCCTTTGATTCTCTGTGGTGAAAACGAAGAGAGGAGGCTAGTTTTAAAAACAGTTACAGAACTTAATTTATACGAGAGCTTTACATATTCTTTTGAATTGTCCAGTGGAGGAAATGAAAAACAAAACAAAATCTGTCCAGGAAAATGAACTTCTCCCATGCCACCCTTCCTTCCCCAGAGTTCATTGTGGTTAATCGTTTGCTACATTTTCTTTTATGCTTTTGTTGTATCTAACCATAAGTTTACTTAAAAACAAAAATGAGATTATGTTATGTATATTGCTTTGTTCGGTACCTTTGAAAGTATTTTATTATTGCAAATGATATTATATATATTGTATTGCTAAGTGCTGTCAAATCAGTTCCGACTCATAGCGACCCTGTATAGGGTTTCTGAGTAGCAGTTGGTGGGTTTGAACTGCCGACCTTGTGGTTCAAATAGACTTTGCAGTCCAGCGCACTAACCCACAGTGCCACATCAAGACTCTGTATGACATATATGTTGTTGTTAAGTGCCATCGAGTGGGTTCTGATGCATAGCGACCCTGTATAGGGTTTCCAAGGACCGGCTGGTGAGCTTAAACTGCTGACCTTGTGGTTCAAACGACTTTGCAGTCCAGCTCATTAACCCACAGCACTACACTAGGATTCCATACGACATACATTTTGTTGTTGTTAAGTGCCATCGAGTCGGTTTCGACCCATAGCGACCCTGCACAGAGTTTCCGAGGCTGTAAATCTTTATGGGAGCAGATTGCCTCATCTTTCTCCCGCGGTGCAGCTGGTAGTTTCGAACTGCAGACCTTGCGGTTCGCAGCCTGATTCGTAACCACTACGCTACCAGAGCTCCTTACATAGAAGTCCACAAAACTTAGATGTTGCTGTTGTTAAGTGCTGTTGAGTTGGTTCCGACTCATAGCGACCCACTGGTGAACTTGAACCACCAACCTTTCAGTTCAAACGGGTTTGCAGTCTGGCGCATTAACCCACAGCGCCACACCAGGACTCAAAACTTAGGTGTTGTTGTTAAGTGCCGTCGAGTTGATTCTGACCCAGAGTGACCCTGTATAGGGTTTCCTTGTTCCAAGGAGGAGCTGGTGAGCTTGAACTAACGACCTTTCAGTTCAAACGACTTTGCAGTCTGACGCATTAGCCCACAGCGCCACACCAGGACTCCAAAACTTAGGTGTATGGTCCAGTAAATAGCAATCAATCAAACAGTCATAAGACTTCTATCCAGGAATAGAATTGTCACCCTCTTTTTCTGATCCCCCTTGTAGAAGTAACCCTGCTTTTATGGTAGTCATTTTCTTTCTTTTCTTTATTTAGCTCAGTTTAGCCTGCTTTTGAACTTGAAGCATGTGAAATATCGTGGCTTGTCTTGTTACTCGCTGCTATCAGATTGGCAAAAAATTTTACATTTGGCAATACCAAGTGTTGGTAGGGAATGTTTGTTACCCTGGGAGTTGTTATAACTCTCTTTGTTAGCTGTTGATTCGTTCTCACTGATATTTTAATATGCACAATTTAGTTTTTGTTCATTCTAGGGGTGATAGACATTTGGGAAGTTTTAGGTTTGGGGCAGTTATGAGCAATATTGCTATAAAATTTGTGTACATGTTCCCTGGTGTACATACGAGTAAGAGCATATTTTCTTTTGAGTGTTTATGTAGAAGCGTAGGTGAATACTGATCACAGAGTAAACACAGCTTAATCTTTAGGAGATGAGTACCAGCGGTTTTTCAGAGTGACTTACCAATTCATACTCCTGTTATGGATTGAATTGCTCACCCTGCCACTCCCCTGAAAAAAATGTTATAATACCTAGGATTCCATTTAGGATTCTTGTTACGTTTTGTTATGTTAATGAGACAGCATTAATTTGCTGTTGTTTGTTTCAATTCATAGTGACTTTGTACAGAGTTTCCAAGGAATGGCTGGTGGGTTTAAACTGCCAACCTTGAGGTTAACAGTTAAGTGCTTATCCTACAGTGCCAAACTTTAAGGTGTGTTTTAAATCAATCTCTTTTGAAATATAAAAGAACATATTAAACAATCAAGTACAGCCAGAGGGGAAGCTACTCACTGAGGAACTGAAGAGATGAGATCTTCCCCCAGATCAGATAAAGAGTGGGAGTCTCCCCCTAAAGCTAGTGCCTTTATGCAAACTTGTAGCCTCCTGGTGTGGAGCTCTAGGATCAGCACTGGACTGCAAACCACAAGGCAGGCAGTTCAAACCCACCACCTGCTCCTTGGAAACCCTGTACAGAGTCACTATGAGTTGGAATCGACTCTACGGTATTTAACAACAACAACAAAGAATGAGAAAATAAATTTCTGTTCATATAGCCACCCACTCTGATATAAAAATGCTAGAGAATTAAGATGGCACCTGTGAGCTTGAATGTTCTTCTGTTCTATTCCCTATCAACACTTGGTACTGTCAGAATTTAAAAATGTTGCCAATCTGATGATTATAGTGAGATTTCTTTTTGGTTTTAATTAGCATTTTCCTGATTACTAACAAAGTTGAGGGCTGTTCTATTAGCGATTTAGGTTTCTTTGGCTGTGAAGTGTTCATTCAAGTCTTTTACCCATTTGTCTGTGGAGTCCTGGTGTGACGCTGTTGGATAAGCACTGGACTGCTAACTGCAAGACTGGTGGTTCAAACTCAACTGCCACTCCTTGAAAACCCTATAGAGGGTCAGAACTGACTCAATGACACTTAACAACAACAAATTCTGAATACTAATTCTTTGTGTGTTATATATATAGCAGATATATTTCTTACTCTCTAAATTACCTTTTTATTCTTTAGATGACCAGAGTCAGATGTATTGCTCTTTTCCTTTATGATTTGTACTTTTAGCATTTTGTTTAGGAAATCCTTCCCCTCCTCAAGGTCCTAACTCAAGTTTTCTTCTATATTCCCTTGTAGATTTGTTTTTCAAATTTAGATTTTAATCCATCTGAAATTTACCTTTGTGATGAGTGTGAAATAGAGAGCTCTGTATCTGTTTGTCACTTAATGTATTGTAGCTATCTTTCTAACCAACACAGTCCTTTTAACAGCTGCAGATTTGCCCAATTTTCTTTTGATACTGTTAAGTGCTGTGGAGTCAGTTCTGATTCATAACGCCCCTGTATGGGGTTTTTAAGGAATGGCTGGTGGGTTTGAATCGCAGACCTTACGGTTAGCAGTCCAGTGCTTATCCTACCGTGCCAATTTCCACTTATTTTTTTCAAATACACATACAGAATAATGAATATTCTTGCACATATATCTTTGAGTATTTGTACTAGTATTCTAGAGAGAGAGTTTCCTGAAGGTTAATGACTTAGTCAAAGAGGACACACATATGAAATCTTGATGTTGTTAGGTGCCATTGAGTACTCAGTTCTGACTCACAGCAACCCTGTATAGGGTTTCCAAGGTTGTAGAGCTTTACTGGATTAGAAAGCCTCATCTTTTAACTGCAGAGTGACTGGTGGGTTTGAACTGCTGATTTTGTGGTTAGCAGACCAGTGCTTCTTATCTTACAGTGTCACTAGTGCGCCAAAATTTTGGTTGTTGTTGTTAAGTGCCATTGAGTCGATTCCGACTCATGGAGACCCTATATAGGGTTTCCAAGGAGCATTTTGTGGTTTTGAACTTCTGACTAGTGCTGTAGGTACTGCCAAATTGTATTTCACTTCCATAAACAGTGTATGAGGAATCTGATTGATCTCATCCTTGGTGACATCATATAATAACAATCAGTTCAATAATTGCCAATTTTAAAAATGTAATCTTTCAAAACTGCTGGGGAAGGCTCAAAGTCTGTTTGACAGACACTCATGCCATTTCAGAGTTCACTGAATGACTCACTCCCCTTTGACAGGCAGGTGGTGGTTGTTGGTGTTTATATGCTATGGAGTCGGTTCCGACTCATAGCGACCCTGTACAGGGTTTCCGAGGCTGTGAATCTTTACGGGAGCAGAAAGCCTCATCTTTCTCCTGTGGAACAGCTGGTAGTTTAGAACTTCTGACCTTGAGATTAGCAGCCTGATTTGTAACCACTATGCTACCAGAGCTCCTTTTGACAGGCAGGGGCTTCTAAAACAGATGAATTTGGTTCAAGTTTGTTACCAGACAAATTGTATCCTGCTTGTCTTGTTCTTCCTGTTTTCCTCCCAGCTGACACTGGGTAGAATGAACTGTGATAAGTGTTTATCCTGGTCTTCATTTCACCTTTATTGTCTCTCCTCAACTCTTGTCTCACCCCTAGTGATTACAAAGTGGTTGTTTGAAGGAAGGTCATTTCTTTGAAACTTACTGGCATTCTTCATATAGCCCATGAGATGATCACAGGGACACTTTGGCTTCTTTGGCGACTCAGGCACTGTTCGTGTTGTAAGCTTTCTTCTAGGGACTCTCAGGAACGAATCTGAAATCACAAGGTTGCTACTTAGAGGACAGAGTTCATATGTTTTCGAGGAGGGAGTAGGGCATGGCTCTTACTTTCTTCTAGTTCCTCTCTCATACTGAGGGGAAAGGGGTCAACACCAAACAGTAGAGAAATAATTACCTGAGCACCAGGATCTCAGAATTATTTTGGTCTGACCTGCGTAGGCAAGGATTTGGTGGCAGGTTTGGAGTAGGATATCACTGAGGAAGGAGTTCTGGTGCCGTGCTGTGGGTTAATGTGCTGAACTGTGAAGTGGGTTTGAACCTCAAGGTCGGTGGTTCAAACTCACCAGCCGTTCCTTAGAAACCCTATAAAGGGTCGCTATGGGTTGGAACCAACTCGATGGCACTTAACATTAACAACAACCTCATTGAGGAGACCAAAGAATGAGGTCTCTGAGTTTTAGTGACTGCGTAACCTCAGGCAAGCCATTTGCCACTCTGATTTGAGTTGTTCTTGTAAGATAAGGCTGAGAATTGGATCCAGGAAAGTTTTGGAAGACCAGGACAAAGTAAAAGTTTTCTGGAAGGCAGTCCTGGGGGGTCTTAGGAAAAGGGAGAGGGGGAGTCAGGTTCAGCCAGCTCTCCCTGAACCTTGGAGGAGTCAGCTCTTGGTGCTGCATGGGGTGGGCTGATGGAGAAGGGGACTGGGTGGGCTCAGCTTTGATTACATCTCAGAGGGGCTCAAGGAAGAAAGCTGAGGCAACAGTGGTCCAATTGTAGTTGTGGATGCTGTGATACTGACCTTTGCATTCACATTCTTGGCCGCCTACCTGAAGCCACCTCCTAGAGCCCTGGAGCTGGTCCTTGTGGCCTCTGGCGACCCCTGTTGGAAGGAAACAGGTCATTTCCAGGGAAGGGAAGGAGAAAATATTGAATAATCTTCCTCCCAGCATTGTGTTACCTAGCACAGCATGGTTCCATTTCTCCTCCTTTTGAACCTCAGGAATTTAGGCTGCTCAGGAGAGGAATATTTTAAACGGGTTAGGAATGGAGCTTTAAAATCTTGCTTAGTGGCGTAGCTGGATAATGCACTGGACCGCAAGATTAGTTTAAACAGCAAGGTTGGTAGTTCAAACCCACCACCCACTCCTTGGAAACCCTATGCAGGGTCACTGTGAGTCAGAACTGACTTGACGGCACACAACAACAACAACAACAACAGTGAAAACCTTAGCCAGGAGGTAGGTGGAGAATGGAAGAGAGGAGACAAGGTGGTGGTTAATTCAAACTCGACCTTCCTCTCCTTCTCTGTACTACAATTTTATGGTTTAAGGAATGTGAACAAGAAACAGATTATTCTATAAACCAGGATCGTCTCCTGATCCCACGTTTGAATCCATAGTTCACTAAGACGATGGTATTTGCTACATTCCTCTTTTGGCCTCTATCCTAGAGCGACTACCACCTGATGATGTCCTATCCCCACTTTGTGAACCCTAAAATATTTTTATGCTGATCAAGGATGCTGGTTAACAGACTTGAGGTTCTGGAGTTAGAGCTGACCTCAGAAGATGCTTCCTCTGCCTAGGTGTTTGATACCGTCGAGTTGTTTCTGACTCGAAACACTGCCCGATCCTGCGTAATCCTAACAACTGTGAGGTTTGAATTCATTGCTGTTGCTACAATCCATCTTGTCGGGGGTCTTCTTTTTCATTTTCTCTTTTTCCTCTGCAATAGTAGTTTCTAATATTTCTTGTCAGAATTGCTTATGTCCTCACATGGTCCCCATCATATGTGAAAGTAGCTCTATTATTAAAAAAAAAAAGTTACAGTTGATGTTTTGTTGTTTAAAATCGGCCTCTCTTGCTTACGCGTGAACCTGGTACATGGTAGGCACATGATAAATGTTTGTTCAGTTACGTGATGGGCAAGTGTCTGGAGAAGGCTCTTAGAAATGACTGTTTCCCAAACTTGTACCCTCTCTGCCACACACATGGAAAAAGTGTTACAACATTGCCCCAAATGCTAGCGTTCAAATGTTCTCATGTACTGTTTTGAGTGTTGTTAAAGTAGTTTCAACAGGAACAGCCTCTGCCATCTAACCTTGTCTCACATTTTTTACTCTCTTCTGACCTCTTCACCTAGTTGCAGAGAAAACCCACAAGAGCCCGAAGGAATCTTGGAGCTATTTAGTTGAATTCCTTCCTGGAGAAGCGTTTTCCATTCTAAATGTTACCACCAGTTACTGCTAGTCTATCCTGACTCATGGTGACCCCAGATGTGTGGGAGTAGAAAGGCGCTCCATTGGGCTTTCAGTGGCTCATTTGCAAAGTCCATCACCAGACCTTTCTAAGTGGACTCAAATGAACTTCTAACTTTGCAGTTATTAACCATTTGCACCACCCAGCAAATGTAATATTTAACTATCTTAGAGGAAATCTGGAAAGTACAAATGAAGACATCTTTATTCTTGCCAACTCATGGGTATTTTGGTATATTTGTTTCCTGCATTTGGTTTTCTTCATATAATGATAATCATAGTCTCTGAACAAGCTTTTGTCTTTTTTCCAGTTCACAGTCTATCACAGACACGTTTGATGACAGTACGATACTCGGAACACGTATATACGAACGCCAGGGGATTGACCTTTCTCCTATTGCTGGACATTTAGATTGTTTTAGTTTTAGCTATTGCGAAATTTCTTTGTGTTTCCCAAGCTTTGGATATTTTCTTGGGAGAGATTTCCCCAAGTGGAATCAGTGGGTCAAAAGTTAAGAAAAAGTTTATACTGATATGTCATTACCAAACTGATTTCAAAACTAGTTAAATAAATCACAATCTCCTTTTTTTTTTTTTTTTTCCAGATGAAGAAACCACTGAGACTCAGATTCAGGAGAGCAAATTCACAAAGGTGACATATCTAGATTCTAGTCTGCTGTTGTTTTTGCAGCGCTATATGGTGTTGCCGATTTCATGGGTGTAACTGAAAACGGGGCTGTGTGGTACTAATGTCTCATGTTTCCCAGACCACAGACCTTTATGGACTTTCTTTATGACTTCTGCTTTAGCCATGCGCCACCGGTGCTATTATTTACTTCATGATTTATGTTTAGTTCACAAAACTTTGCCTGGACTTCTGGTGTGGCACTGTGGATCAGAACTGGACTGCGAACCACAAGGCCAGCAGTTCAAATCCACTGGCTGCTCTTCAGAAACCCTAAGCAGGGTCGCTATGATTCGGAACCGACGCCAAGGCACACAACAACAGTCTAGTGTGACATGGTAGGGTAAGCACTGGATTGTTAACGGCAAGGTTGGCTGTTCAAACCCACGAGCTACTCCTTGGAAACTCTGTGCCAGGGTCGCTATGAGTTGGAACCGACTGAATGGCACTTCACAACAACAAAGCCTCCTCCTATGCAATTGTTATTAGGTGCCATCGAGTCGGTACTGACTCACTGCCTGATCCTGGGTCAACCCCACTATCGTTACCACGCTTGAGCCCATTGATGCTGCCACCTTGCCAATCCATGTCACTGGGGGTCTTCCTCTTTTTCTCTGACCCTCCACCTTACCAAACATGAAATCCTTCTCCAGCGATTGGTGCCTCCTGACAATCTATCTGAAGTATGAGAAACGAAGTTTGGCCATCCTGGCCTCCAAGGGGCACCGTGGCTGCACTTCATCCAACACAGATCTATTAGTTCTTTTGGCAGCCCATGGCACTTTCAATATTCTCCTCCAACACCATAACTCAAAGGCATCAATTCTTCTATAGTCTTCCTTATACAGTGTCCAGTTTTTGCATGCATATGAGGTTATTGAAAATACCATGGCTTGGGTCAGGCGCACCTTAGTCCTCAAGCTGACATCTTTGCTCTTCAACACTTTAAAAAGGTCTTGTGCAGCAGATTTGCCTAATGCAATACGTCGTTTGATTTCTTGACTGCTGCTTCCATGAGTGTTGATAGTTGATCCAAGAATGAAGTCCTTGACAATTTCAATCTTTTTTCTGTTGATAAGAATGTTGTTTATTGGTCCAGTGGAGAGGGTTTTTGTTTTCTTTACATTGAGATGCAATCCATAATGAAGGCTGTGCTCCTTGTTCTTCATTAGTAAATATTTTAAGTCCTTTTCACTTTCAGCAAGCAAGGTTGTAGCATCTGCATATTACAGGTTGTTAATGAGTCTTCATCCAATCCTGATGCCACATTTTTCTTCATAGAACCCAGTTTCTTGGATTATTTGCTCAGCATACAGGTTGAATAGGTATGGTGAAAGAATGCAACCCTGTTGCACACCTTTCTTAATTTTAAGTTATTCAGTGTTCCCATGCAATATTACTTGAGAAATTGTGGGATTGATGTGAGTTTATAGTTTTTCTAACATGAATTAAAATAAATAGATAACTATCCAAATAAGAAAGCTAGAATCATTTGTGGAACATATCAGTATATTAGAACCCATGTGAACTTTATATGCCATCAGACCTGGGTTAAGCTACTGGCTCTGTCACTTAATTATGTCGTCTTGGGCCAGTCCCTTAGCTTCTTTGGTCCTTGGTTCCTTGATTTATAAAACAAGGATGGTAACATCCATCTTGTAGAGTTGTGTGGAATAAATGAGCTACTGTAGGGACCCAGTGCCTGCGGAGGCCTTTAGCACATGGTGGTTAGCATTAGTGTTGTTGGCATGGACTTCTAGTTATTTTCCAAAGAGAGTGTCTATACTGAAACATTAGGTTATTGCTTTTTGCTGACTTGCATGTGTAAAGAAAGGTGCTCTGGTAGCGTAGTGTTTACCAATCGGGCTGCTAACCTCAGGGTCAGCAGTTCGAAACTACCAGCTGTTCTGTGGGAGAAAGATGAGGCTTTCTGCTCCTGTACAGATTTACAGCCTCGGAAACCCTGTACAGGGTCGCTATGAGTCAGAACCGACTCCACGGCACATAACAACAACAACAATGGGTAAAGAAGTCACTCCCACTGTTAGGCCTTGTGATGTAATTATCATTATTTTGATTTCCCAGTTCCACTACATTCTAGTTTTTTGTGATTTAGGACATGCCGCTTAGCTTTTTTGTGCCTCACTTATGGCATGGTGCTGTGGGTTAATGCGCTGCATTGCAAGATCGATTTGAACTGCAAGGTCGGTGGTTCAAGCTCACCAGTCAGCCAATCCTCGGAAACCCGATACAGCACTTAACAACAATAAAATATGTGCATACATACATATGGGAGTCCCTGGGTAGGCAAATGGTTAGCTGCTAATGGAAATGTTGGAGGTTTGGAAGAAAGTTCTGGTGATCTCTTTCCAAAAAACAGCCTTTGAAAACCCTGTGAAGCATAGTTCTGCTTTGACACACTTGAGTGTAGTATGAGTCATAATCACTTGGATGTTGTTGTTGTTGTTAATGTGCCGTGGAGTCGGTTCCGACTCATAGCAACCCTGTACCTCAATGGCAACTGTTTAAAAATGTTTTGTTTTGTTTTTCAACACAAACATACATGTTTTTAGCTCTCTCCACTAGAGGGCCTAGAAGCAACAATACTCAGCAACTGAGTATACTCAGTTCCCATAGTTTGCAAACACCACCTTCCAGTGCTGGATCCTAGTTTGGTGCTGTAGGATAAGCACTGGATTGCTAACCACAAGGTCAGCGATGTGTGTTCTTCAGAAACCAGGGACACTATGAGGCAGAACCCACTCAAAGGCACTTAACAACAACAACAATGAAAGGAAGGAGAGTTCTAGTGTGGCACTGTAGGATAAGCAATGGACTGCTAACCACAAGGTTGGTGGTTCAAATCCACCAGCTGCTCCTTGGAAACTCTATACAGAACTGACTCGATGGCACTTAATGATGAAAGGAACCAGAGTCCTGGTGTGGCATTGTAGGATAAG